GGCATGTGACTCTTCAACCTATCAAGTCTAGGGGTAGGTGAACCCTATGTGGCTTCTGAGGTTAGATCACAAAAGCTCATGAAGCTTCCACCTTGTTTACAGGAACACTTGCTCTTAGTGCCCTCAGAGTCCACGTCAGAAGTCTGACCACCCTGATGTCACATTGCTAGAGACACCACATGTAAGCATTCTAATTGACAGTCCCAGCTAAGTCCAGCCTTCCAGCCATTCTCCCATAGTATGAGACATGAGAATGAAACCATCTTGGACTTTTCAGACCATTTTATTATATCTCACATTTTTTTGTGGGTCCGCAATGCTGTAGGATTCACTGGGTGATCCTTGTGTGTGGGTTTATGGAGGTCACTTGGTGGACCAGAATAACAACCAGCTGATTTCTGCCTAAATTTCTGGCCCACAAAATTGTGTGATATAATAAAATGGAGATTTTTTTTAAAGCCACTAAGTTTTGAAGTAGTTTTTTTATGTAGAAATATGTAGCTGGAACAAGATCCCTCTGCCAGCACCCCCTGAAAGAACAAAAAGAATATAAGAGAATAATTTATGTAGCTGCTGTGGGAGTTTCACACTCAGTGAGTAGATAAAAGAATTGGGTAAAATACAATCTAATCACAGGAATATGGACCAAGAGGGCCATTTGACCATCCTATTTAGATGGTTATAATATAATAGGTCAGAACATGCCCCATCGATGTTATCCTCAAGAATCCAGCATCCCAGCTGAAATCCTCCACTCTTCCAGAATTTCAAATGGCAGAGAAGATAAACCTGTAAATTGTTTGCAAAGGCATAATTATTTCCCCAATAGTTAAGCATCTTTCACTTCTGTAAAGATTTAGAATTAAATATAGAAATTTATAAGTAATCAAAACCATAGCATTAATATTTTTATTAATGAATCTGTGTATTTTTAATATTTTTGTACTTGTTATTTTTGTAAGAATTTAGACAGAGAATATAGCAGCCTTGTAATTCCAATTTAAAATATATTAATTGAATAATTAATTTAGACTTGTGATTGCAAAATGAAATCTTAATTATGTTTACGCACAGTTTGAAGACATTTAAGAAAATTCAAGTTTCTCCAATCTTGTAAGTTTAATTTTTATGTTTTTAGAGTACTCAGGAAGGTTTCTTTTAGGTAAGTCACATATTGTATGTACCAAATGAATTTAAATGAACCTAAAATATTTGAACACATTTCACTAAGTTTTCAAAATGGGACAAATATTATTTAAAGTCAGCATATTTCCTAATTTAAACTCCTTACAAAAGAATTTCCTCTTGCCATAAATTTGCTGAGAGCTATTCTTATCCTGTCTCTCCTGGGGATTTCACTAAGCTGTCGAAGAAGTATGACAGGTCACTGCCAGGGGCAAGGGAAAAAAAGGAAATTCTCCCTGCACAAGGGTGAAGAAGAGCCTGTTAATTATCAGCAACAGAGGCGAACTCAGCAGTCCTGGCACAAAAGAAAGCTCTGCCTTGAGAACCAGCCGTCTCCTGTCAGTGCTCTGAGCTGCTCCTGGTGCTTCCCCAGCTTCCCCGCGGGGTTCAGATAAGATGAGCACCTTTAAAGGAGGGACACTGCAAACACTGCTCAGGGGGAGCACCTGAAGTGAGAAAGGGACTTATTACCTGTTACCAGGTCTTCCCCTGTAAGTGACAATAGCAATATAAACCTTTGTTCCTAGAACGCAGAAGCATTCTTCCCATGCCACCTCCAGAGAGAAAGAAGGAAAGAAATGAAATACATATGAAAGAATTAGAATAAGGCAATAAAGATATTCTTAAAATCATCGGGTCTCGCTGGTAAACCTAGCCTACCCTTCTTATATGCTTCTAGAAATTTGCACGTATACTATTGTGAGCAACAGCACGATCTCTGGCGTTTGTCTAAGTTACGCCTCTATCCTTATATTTTTCCTAGGTTCTTCAACCCACTTCTCTCTGTACTTCAGCTCTCAATGTTTAGCTCAGGGCACTTTGTTCTAATGAGCCATTTAGATATACTCTCTTCTCTTTGGCTTAGAAAGCCAGAGATACCCACTCTCAGGTTCATGGGCCATTGCTACGTCCAGATGCGAAGACTCTTGTTGCCTGGGTAAGAGCTCAAAGCTTTCCCTGACCCAGCAGAGCCACAGATGTCCCTTAACTCACCAGCTTCCTTTTTCTATGAGTCTTAAATATGAATATCCTTACGGCTCTTTTTACTTTATACAAACCACTATCAATGTTGTGGACCTACTATATTGTCTGATCAGATCCCTTTCCCCTTTCCTTTTCCTGGGAAATCACCCAGACCCTACTGTGCATCTACGGGAGGACTGAGCTCTTCTTACCCAAGCCGACCTGGCCTCACCTGACTAGCCCAAGGACAGAGCCTAATCTCCAGCTGGGCCATGAGTCATTTTCCAGTGTTCTAACTGGACTTGAGGGAAAAAACCCAATAATCCTTGTTATGGGTTGAATTGTGTTTAGAATTTATTGTCGGATTTCTTCAAATTTGGGAATTTCTCAGTGTTCCTTCTGTCACTGATTTCTATGTTTATTCCATTGTGATCAGAGAAGATACTTTGGATGATTTCAAACTTTAAAAATTTACTGAGACTTGTTTTGTATTCTAACATACAGTCTATCCTGGAGAATTCCCAAATGCTCTTGAGATAAATGTGTATTCTGCTCATTTGGTTGGAGTGTTTTATATATGTCACTCAGGTCTAGTTTGTTTATAGTGCTGTTCAATCCTCAATTTCCTTATTGATCTTCTGTTTAGTTGTTCAGTCCATTATAGAAAGTAGGGTATGAAAGTACTCAACTCTTATAGTAGAACTAGTTCTCCCTTTAATTCTGTCAATTTTTGCTTCATGTATTTTGGGACTGTGTTATCAGGTGTGCATATGTTTATAAGTGTTATATCTGCTTCATAATGAAGCCTCTCTATACTCATTCGGAAACTTAAAGAGACAATAAATAGCTTTTTTCCAAGGTGCCCAGGAAATCTAATAATAGATTGGGTAGCTCTATTTTTGCAGTTTAACTTTTAATATAGTATTTAGGATATATATAGCAGTTGCCATAATGCAGAGTCTAGAAACTTTTGTATAGTTAATTAATTTACATACAGGATTGTTTTAAACAGGAAGAGAGAAAGATTAAGACAATGAAATGGATTTCTAATCAAATTTGAAATGAAAAATCAATTATAGAAAACTATGCAGAACTACTTTCTTTGTGAAAATGCTATACTATGCAATATATATATATGATATATAATATATATATATATGATTCTTTGTAAGAGACACCACCCACATTAGATGAAATTTATGTATGTAAATGCCTGTCATGATGTCCTTAGTAATTTTGTAATCCAGAAAGTGTATCTTCTATAAAGTATAAAAAAGTGCATTTTCTAGTAAAAGTAATTTGATCTAGTTCCAGGCCCAAAGAAAAAACAAACCTGCTTCACTCTTCTTTTGCTGCTTCTTATACTGTCCTCCTGTGTAACTGATCCTGGTGCCAGATGTGAGGGCTGCTGTTTCTTCAAAACTTTAAAGAATATGGAAGATTAACTCCCTGTGCTTTTGATGCCTGTCAGAAATTTTCAGTAAGTGAGTTAAGAAGCCTGAATGAGTCAGAGACTCTTTAAACAAGAAGATAACCAAAGTTAGAAGGTATAAAACAGATGAAATAAATAAATAAATATGTATTTTATAACATATAAATATTAAAAGTCCTGTTTGATGTTTAAGTATGGACCGTATTCTGCTGCTCCAAATAGGTAGGAATAATCCCCAGGCTCACAAAGGGCATAGGTGATCCACAAAGGTTCACTGGTTTGACATGCTTTTCCTGACAATCTGCTCAGTGCATTATCCCTCCATTTGGAAATGCACTGTCCCCTCCCTGTAATAACAAGGGAACGAGGGAGGGCCAGATAGAGTGAGCAGCCTGAGTTCTCCCTTGCCTTTCACCACCTCTCCCAATACACACACACGCACACGCAGAGGTCATTTCTAATTAGATCTCAGGGGTGTGAGAAATTGCTCCAGAAATGGGCTGGGGCTGGGGCTGGGGCTTCCATCACCAGATTTGGGGCTGGACGAGGAAGTGGGAGTGGGCTGCTTTACAAAGGAGCAAGTAAGTCGATCTGAAGAGGGTACAGGTGGCCTGAATCCTCCAGGGTCCCGCTGAGCTGCTGCTGCCCTACACTGCCAAAAAGCAGGGAGATGTAGAGGGCAAGATCAGAGAGAGTACCAGTTGAGATAGTCTGATGGGGGAAAGAGGAGGCGGGGACTGGCCAAGCCTGTGTAGGTAACATGGACATTTATATAATGCTTTACAGCTTATGAGTGCTTTTCATCTTCACTATGCCGTTTATTTTTCAGCAACTGAATTATGTAAGAGGCAGATAATATTATTTTTCCCAGATAATAAAATTATCCCTATTTGTTTTCATAAATGAAGAAATTGAGTCTTGCCTAAGATCACAATTTTAGTAAGGTCAGAGCTATAACTCAAACCTACATCACTTCCTGCCTCGTTAGCTTGTGCTTAGAAAATCAGCCCCAAACAGACTTACTAGGTCAACTGTGGATCAAAACACAGTGCAGCAATTCAAGGCTTCCAGTGTGGCTGGAACTGAGTTATGTGATAAAGGTGGACAGTAAGAGGTCTGGATTGGCTCACACGCTGTTTTCAAGAACTTGTCATTGATTCTGAAGGCAATGGAAAGAACACGTTCAAGTTTATGCTTCAAAACAGGGATCGGCAGTCTTTGTATCATAAGCCAAATCTGGTCCACCACCTGTTCTGTAGTTAATTTTATTGACTCACATCTATACCTATTTATTTACATATTGTTTATGGCTGATGCTGTCCTACAAAAGTAGATTTAAGTAGCTGCAACAGAGATCATCTCAAAGCCTTAAATAATTACTATTGGCCCCTAACAGAAAATGTTGGCTGATGTGTTTCAGAGACATCTCTCAGGCTGTGATGATCATTAGAGGGAACCAAGATGGGATACAGTAAGCCCCGCCTGAAGTCCCCTTCAGAAGTTTCCGTGAGAAATGATGAGTCTGAAGTGGGTTTGGGACAATGGCAAGGATCTAAAAGATGCTGACGCAAAGACTTGAAAAGACTTGGAGCCTGGATATGTGAGATGAGGAACTGGAAAGGTAAGAATGATTCCAATTACGCTATTAGATTTTTTTCTTAAGATAGTAATTGAAGGCACAGGATTAGATGCTTCACCAGAGAGAGGATAAAGAGTGAGAGAAAAGAGCCCAGGCAGAACCTCGAAGAATGTAGATGTATAAACACTGGGTAAAAAGAGAAGTACTTGGGGAAGATTTAGAAGGAGCTTCCAGACAGGTGAGAGGACGGCTGAGGGTCAGCAGTGTCAGACGCCGGTGGATGGAGGGGAAAACTCAAAACTTGTCATTGGATTTGTCAAGAAAGAGCAATTGCTGTGGAAAGACAAGAAGCATACCCCAGACCCTGGTGGACCAAGGAATGACAGAGGTGAGGGAGTAGGGATGTAGACACAACCTTTAAAAATGCTTGATCTGGAAGTGAAAGCTAGAGATAGCCCGGCAGCTGGAGGGAGCCCTAGGCCTGAGCAGCAGTTTCATTTCTGTGTTCTTTGTGTTTTAATAAAGGAACTCTGTGAGCAACCTTAGATAATGAGGAGGAGGAGCCATTAAAGAAAGAAGCTGAAGATACAGGGGCGAGTGAGGCTAAACAACGGAGGATGCTGCCAAGGAGGCAGGAGGGAAGAATCTAGAGAAGCAGAAAACAAGATCATCTGTTGAAAGTGAGGGAGGATGCCCAAGACTCGGTGGTTGGAGTAGTCATCATAGACAATGGCCAAGAGAAAGAAAATGAGGGAAGCCCAGACCGAAAGTCCAGGCAAAACTGAAAGTCCAGCTGAAGATCTGTGAGTCGTGTGACTTTCTCCACCAGCGTGAAGGGTTTAAGTAGAAAACTAAACACAAAATTTCAGCAGTGAGGAGTTGCAACAACTCCGAAGTCCAGCTGGGAGAAGTGCTATCTAAAGTCTGTAGTGTACGGAATGCATTCTTTTCCTTCCACTTCTGTGATTATTCCACTTCTTGAATCAGAGTCCCAGAGGGCTACACATGTGGACCACAAGACCTCACTCCCTATGTTTCAGTTAGATTTTCTGGCCTTTAGAGCTACCCAGAGAAGGGTCCATGTGGCATTGCCCCCAGTTCCTGTTGTGACTTAAAGGAAAACTTTCACAATGTCTGGAGCCCTTGATGTCCTGTAAATGAAGGAGAATAATGTCCCTGAATTCCTTGCAGCAGGAGCCCACTTAGATGGCACTAACCTTGACTTCAAAACAGCATGGTACATCTGCAAAAGGAAAAATGATGGCATCTACACTGTAAGTTCGAAGAGAACCTGAGAGAAGCTTCTGCTGGTAGCTCATGCCAGTGTGACCCATTGAAAACCCGGCTGACATCAGCGTCATATCCTTCAAGAATATCAATCAGCAGAGTGTGCTGAAGTTTTCTGCTGCCACTGCAGTTACTCCTGTTACTGGTTGCTTCACTCCTCAAACCCTCACTAACCAGATCCAGGCAGCTTTCCAGACTCCAGACTTCCGGTGGTTACTGATCCCAGGGCTGCCCACCAGCCTCTCCCAGAGGTGCTTACATTAACCTGCCTGCCATTGCTATGTGTAACAGTCTCTCCTCCATGCAATGTGGACACGGCCAATACGTACTACAACAACAAGGGAGGGGTGGCAGATGGCAGCCAGGGAAGTTCTGCACGTGTGTGATGCCACCTCCCGGGAGCAAGTCATACCTGATCTCTACTTCTACAGAGTTCCTGAAGTGATTGCAGTAGAAGAGTAGGCCTCTAATTAAAAGGCTGTGACCAAGGAGGAATTTCAGGGTCAACAGACTGCTCCAGTTCCCTAATGTACTGGTACACAACCAGGGGTGCAGACTGATCTGAAGGTGTGTAGGTCCCCTCCATGCCTATCCAGCCATTCCCTGTTGAAGCCTGGAGCAGCCAGCCTGCCACTGAAGACTGGCTGCAGTTCCCACTGAGCAGGCCACCAAATATGTAGGAACAACCATTGAATGGTCTTAAGATGTTCTTCCACAGACTCTTAAACAGGAAATGAAAATTAGGTTGACAAGAAACAAAGTTTCCAAAAAGAAATTTCTGATTTCTTCTAGCCTATCAATTGAAGCCCAAACTCATTGGAATTTATAACAAAGACCTGAGCCTCATCCTAAACGTGTTAACCCAAAATTCAAGTGAGTCTGAGGATGTCTGGGACCCTAGTCTGATAGGGGAAACTCTCGGAATATCTTTATATGAGGACAAGAGGAGCCACAAGATAGGGAACACATCTTAAGGGATGAGAGAATCAATGTATTGATATCTTCAATATTCATACAAGCAAAGTGCACAATTAGTATTTCACCAAATCTACTGTAAGGCAATGAGCACAGGTATCAGCGTTACTGGTACCAAGAGTTACAATCTGAGGACATTACTTATTTGGAGTAAAGCATCATTCCAAGTCCTTGTCCGACATTGTCTCATTTAATATAGCAATCTTCTGAGGAAGTATTATCATTGTTTCCCTTTAATGGTGGAAGAAACCGAGGCTTGAGATGCTAAGTGACTTTCCTGAGATCACACAGCAGGTTATTAGCAGCATCAAGATCCAAACTAACCTGGACACCTCCCTGATGACAGGAGTATCATCAGTCCACCAAGTCAAGTGCACAGGAAACAACTGAAAATTTCTTTAACTCAGTTTTATTTCCACTTTAAGCCTCATCCTGAAACTTCTATGAGTATTAACCTGGGTCATGTTAAGATTTCACCTCTCCCATTCCACTCCGAGTTAACAAAAATATTTGGTGCTGATGTGGCACCAAGGCACAGGGTGAACCCTGGACCTTGGTAATCTGCTCACACTAGATACTAAGACAACCATCGTCCCATTCATTGTGGCCCCTGGACCATGGGCCAGAGTTCCGTATGAGCCCTTCTAGTCTCCTCCACTCATACAGCCTCAAAGCTCATGTTTCTGTTACCCACCAGGAGCCTGGACACATTGAGCCTATGAGCCTGGTTAGAGACCCACAAAGCCGCCGTCTCCATGGTCTTGCTTGCTTTAGTCCCTTCTGCTTTTGGGACCCAGCACTCTGACAGCACGATCAGGAACTAGAGCATAAACTCGTTCATCTCTTTCTCCACAGCCCTGGGCCCTGGGCAATATTCCTCAGCTTGTGGAATCCTTTACCCACTATGTTTATTATTAAGGTCACTTTCTCTGGGCCCACAAATTTTCTCCTCCCTCAAGGGCTTAGGATTTGGAAAATAAAAGTCAGAATTTCCAAGTTTATCCTGTCCTTTTCTCTCTGGAGGGAAGGAGGGCCAGGCTTATGAGCTGTTTTAACAAAGAAAATACAAGGAAAGAAAAATGAGATAATACCAAAATAGTATCTTGCCACTTTGAGTTCTTTAGAAGAAAAATGCCGCTTGACTGTAAGGAACAAAGAATAGGATAAAGGTCCTTGGATGATTTGGGTGGGAGTTCCACTAACTTAGCTTCTGGCACCAATCCAACAACCACACAGAAGGGCAAAATATGCAAAACACAGCACAGTGCATTTCATATCCAAGAAAGTTAGGAGCTGGAAAAGCTGTGCTTTCACAGCATCTTCACATGAGAGCAATTGTACAAACCTCTCCTCAGCACAGATTCGGGAGCTTTCTGAGAGCACGGTGAAGTGCTTTCTGGTGGCCTGAGTGCACCGAGCATTGACACCACTTCATTCGCTCTCCCATTTCTGGTATGTGCTGTCGACACCATCAGGGCTCTCGTGAGTGGAGTCATCCTCTTTTTAAATTACAGGTCAATTTTCTATGTCCTCTTTGCTTGTCTGCTTCTCCTGAGATGGCAGCTGGGAAAAAAATATATTAAAAAATGATGAAGAGCCAAATACGTGGAGAATGTAACAGAGCATTTATGGGGTTTTGTCTGCTTTGATCTAAGCGTGGCTCTTCAAGGAGAAGTTTCACTAGTCATCTATTATCAAGTCCTTTATATGAGACTTTTCTCCTGGAAAAAAGTGAAAATTGCTCTTTCCAGGATTCTGACACTTTCTAAAAGCCCCAATTAGCTTTCACCTTAAGACAATGCTACTTCTACCAAGTTGTACCAAAAAAAAAATGTGTTCCAGGCCGACAGCCTGGGTTTAGAATGATAGAACACAGGGATCAATAGGTTCCCTGAGCAGCTGAGTGTGGCGGTTGGTGCAGGTAGGGGCATGGCAGACAGGAGGTGGGGCAGAGACGGTGAGGGTCCGGGTAGGCAGGCAGAGTTTGGCATCCTGGAAATGCAGCATTGGGGACCTGAAAGGATATGGAAGGACTGAACACAGAACTGTCTTAGGCAACAAAAGGCAGATGACAGAGGAGGCCGGCCCCACCCCCTGAGCGGTGGCAGGGCTAGACGTCAGTCACGTGGTTGAGGGGCCTGAGCAATGCTGGAAGCCACGGGGCAGTCAGACCTCACAAATGCTGTTCTGTTTATTCTGAGTACTTTCCCTTGTGCTGAAATGAGGGAATTAAATGTTAGAGGAGTTAAATGAATTGCTTGGTCATACATTTAACCAAATGATTCAGACCAGATTTCACCCCAAGTCCCTTCAAAAGCCTGAATGTTCTCCAGTGTCACCACGACTGACCAGGTAGAGACCTGAGGCCTCCTCTGGCAGCTTCCTGCCCCAGCCGGCATTTCTCCAAACATGAGCTGTGGACCCCTCAGTCAGAATTACTCTAGCAGCCTATAAAAAATAATGACTTCTGGGACGCTGATCCAGATACTCTGATTTAGAAGGTCTGAAGTGGGTTTCAAGAATTTTAATTTTTCTTAGAGATCCTGATCCAGGATGTCCAATGAGTTTGCTCCATTATCCTGGCCACTGCAGTTGAATTATGCTTAGGCATAAGACCTAGGTAGGGCCAACTGGTGTCTTCTCTAAGATTAATGCATATTTGTGTATATACATTTACATACACACGCTCTTGAAGAGAGCAATATCCTTTCCACTGATACTGCTAAGCTTTGAGGGTGTGAGCTGGGTGGCTGGGCTTCATCTTGTCTGTCACGGAGGAGGAGATTCTCTACAGAAGTTTACAAATCAGAAATGAGGTTTGAACTTCTTAAACTGGTTTGAGTTGGGTCTCTGCCACTTGTAACCAGGTGACCTCCCTAGAGTTTGCGTGAAACATATCAGAAGGTTTACATGAGTGTGGTATGAGTCACCAGTGCAATGGGACCTCTCCCTTCACCAAGGTTATCCTTCGGCTTTAGAGCAAAGGGTCTACGTCATCTGTTGTTTTTCCTGGACTTCTTGATCCTCACACTAGCTTTGGCTGGTTCTGTCCACTTCCATGCCTCCAATTATAATGATTCAAAAACTGAGCTCTCCATTTACATCACTCATCTGTGGTTTTGATCTTCTTTGGTTGTGATTCAGTTGTCTTTTGAACATTTCCACTGGGATGTCCCCAGGCACAAATCCAACATATTCAAAAGTGCCTTAAAGATCGTTCCCCCCTCAGGCATGATTCATCTCTTGTTCTCCTTGTCTCTGTGAAAAGCACAGCCATTCTCCCAGGTCTATACCATTGGGCCTGGGAGGTGGTGGACTGAATGACTTCTGAGGCCTCTAGGATCTTAAGATAAACTAAAAGTAGACATTTGTCTTCCAAATTCTTATTGAAATGCCTGATTTTGCGAGTTGTTAATGTTTCATTTCTTTGGGACTAAAATGAGTAATTCATGCCCTTAGATCATGACAAAGCCTTCAAATGGTTGAACTGTAGATCCAAAAATACCCCAGGCTATTTGTCATCCCTCACCTTCCAGTCATCCTACACTGAGCAGGGTCATCATTCCTCACTTCCCATGGCCCTTCACACAGTATTAGCAAGACAGTTTCAATTATACTCGTTTGCTACTCATGCCCAAACTCTCTTGATAGGAGGCTGATATCATTCTCACCTTAAAAGCAAGCGGAGGCACAGACACTTGAAGTCATTTTCACAAGGTCGCTGAAATTTCAATGAAGCCTCCAAGAGCTGAGCCCAGTGCTTCATTCCCTGAGTCACACGCCCCCCCCCCCCACTGCTGCTCTGCAGGAGGCTGGGGCTGAGAGCCTCAAGAAAACATGGTGGTGGATTTTGTTCTGTTTTTCTGTTCAGGCTTTTGAATGGATAAAGCAATAATTGTATTTTTCCAAAACAAAAAGAAATTTTTTTTTTCACAAATGAAGAAACTCAGAACCTGCCTAGTTTGCAGTATGATGCCTGGAGTCAAAATACTCCATCCTTGTTCTGTAAGATTCCAGGGACGTACAGCTTCACAAGGAAGGGTTTTAGTAAATATGGTGTAAACGTGGTACTTCAGTGGAGAAGCTGATCTCGTTAATTCCTCCTGAGTACTGCTGCAACCATGATGGAACTGGAGAGGGACGTTTGACAGAAGGGTGCGTATTTGAAGGGAGACTCAGTTTGTAGCTATATGTGTACTTCCATCTGCCCATTCGTGAATTATTCAACCAACATGAAACAGCACTGTTTGGGGATGGGTTTTTTCCAAATGGTGAAATTTAAATAAGCTCTATTCCCTGAAATAACTTTTTAAAAAAGCCCCTACATCAGCACCTCCAACACTCCAACACAGGCAAAGCTGGCCAAGCGCTGTATTTATCATCACCAGCTCTGCAGGGTTTTAAAATTTTTCCAAGAGAACTGAAGGAAGTTGGTTTTCAAAGAAAAAGAACATTTTTTTAAAAAAATCCATTCAATTCTTAAATGTATTTACCCAACATTCATATCTTGATGTTGATATAATTTTCTTGGGAGGAAGATAAACAATAGATTTGCTCCTTGTAGGTGTTTAACTCTTCCTGACTCAGCTAAATGACTCTGGAGAGAGTTGTGCACAGAGAGAGAACAAAGAAAAGGAAAGGTTAGTACAGATCTCTGCCTGCCTGGAGGAGGCATCACATAAGGGCAACAGCAACTGTGTCGGTAAGACTTGCCTCTTGTCTCAAAAATTATTTTTAAATGTTTTGGGGTTGAAGTGTGAGTGTTACATAAAGGTGAAAACCTTTCTGGAATAACCCCAATTTTTAAAAATCAGAATGATATATGCCTTGAGAACCACACACAGTACAATCCAAACAGTATCTTTAAAAAAATGTTTGTCGGTGGTAGGTAACTAGGTTTATTTATTTTTATGTTGGAGGTACTGGGGATTGGACCCACAATCTCATGCATGCTAAGCACACACTCTACCACTGAGCTATACCCTCTCCCGCAAACAGTATCTTCTCTTACCCTTTTCAAAGACTCAATGACACAGTTTCATAAAGTGCAACATTTAACTGCTCAGAGTATGGAGAACACCTTGTAAGATTAAGAAAAGCAGAGTTCAACCACAAGCATCCATATGTTGAAGGGCAGTTCATTAAGATATTAATTTTGTGGGGCTTTTTGTTTGTTTTCTGTGCTACTTTTGCTTGCTTTCTGTTTTATTTGTGTGCCTGTGGGAGAACAAGAAAGAGTGAGGAGTATCTGTCCTTCCCCTATTACTCAACCTTGGAGATGAGCAAGGGTTTAAGTCTAGAAGGTCTATAGTTTCCCGTCCTCTCAGCTCAAAATTAAAAGATTTTGAAAATATCTGCCTTGTGGTGGTGATGGGTGAGGAAGAAAGGTCTGTGGGGTTGGGAGTGGGTACAGAGTAAGTGCTGGCTTTGACCAGGAAAGCAGATGGGGGCCTGAGGGGGGACAGGGACCCTCCCCACCTGGGCAGGTGGCAGTGGGCGGTGGCAGGACAGAGAGAAAACAGCTGCCTCAGCATTCTGGGGAGATGGCAGGACCCCTGGAGAGGGAATTCTCTCTGTCTGGTTCATCTAGACAGGCTAGACTCGGGGAAGGGAACCTCAATATTGGCAAAGATTTATCTGCCCCTTGGTTGATAAGACATCTGCCCTCTGTGTGCTATCACTGCGATCAGCAGTGACCACTTAAGACCAGAGGGCCCTTCACATAAGTCCTGGCTGAATAAGACACCTTGGACCTTTGAATAACCCTGGTGGAAGTCGGGGAATGGAACTCTAATAATGAGTGAGACTGAGTTTCCAAACATTAAAGCAAGATGCAGGTTTGAAAAATATTACAGTCTACGTACAGGGTGAAAGAAAATGAGACATTTTCATCTTCATATTGAGGTAAAATGTTTATTTGGTTGGTGGGGGGGAGGGGTGT